GTGGAGGAGGTGTCATTGCCTAGTTTTACTGATTACAGTCTTTGGATCAGGAAGTCGAACATCCAGTTACAGAGGAGTGTGCTGAGACCTAAGTCTTGGAGTTTAGAGATGAGTTTGTTTGAAATTATGGCGTTGAAGGCAGAACTGTAGATGAAGGGAGTGAAAGCATGGTTGAAATTTAGAGGTTGCTCTTCGTGACAAAAATGAGGAAAATTTATTTTCTGAGAGCTTTGCAACTTTAGAACTCTGCCTCAGAAGGCGACGAAGGTAAGGTAATATTTTTAAGATAATGATGTATTCAGAAGAATCGGGTATTGTCAGGGGTAGATGGGAAATTGGAATTAGAAACACACAGTTCAGATATGATCTTAACGAATGGTGGAGCAGGTTCAAGGAGTTGAATGGTTTACTTCTCCTATTTTTTATTTAAAAGCTATACTTTCTTGTTTGAATTTATAATGAGCTTTGTTGGTCTGAAAAATGAGTATCACTGATCAAATGATGCAAATTAACTACAATTTCTGGAAGGATGCCAATCAGCAATTCCTAGCATCAACATTGAAACTTATGCCTGAAGTGGCAACATATCTCTCTGTTTATCTCAAACAAACAACAATAGGTTTAGCAGGGGTATAGAAACTTAACCTTGATATTGTTGGGGAGGTGCTAACAGCCCCGTTTATCACCTATGTGGATACTGAATGGCTAGTAACAGAGATATAAACAAATTTTTGAAATGAGCTTGACTTCTAAATGGACAAGTTACCTGTGCCATCACCCTTGGGCTTCTGGAGAGTTTTTTGATTTGATTTGATTTACTTATTGTCATGTAAAGAACATTATATAGCGTCATCTCTCTCCAGCACCATCTTAAAACACAGAAAAATAAACCAAAGCATAGAATATAATGGCAGAAGAATAAAGAAAAAGTGTTCAACTTTACAGTCCTTTTCGTTAAGTGCTCTGCCATTAGCCATGGGCCTGGCGGCCAGGCACAAGTCCCTTTGCCATACCGCTGCTACTGGAACACTCTTAGGTGCCATCTCATCACCACCGACAACTTCGCCAATGAGTCCTCACCGGACCTCGCCACGCAGACACCACTTATGCCACCAGGTACCACACTGGCCCAAACTCACCTCCGCCTCCACGAATCTTTGCTGGACGCAGATGCCACTGAGAACTCAAACTCGCCTCCGCCGCAGCAGCCATGAGTCGGCACTAGGACTGCCTTGTTGATGCAGAAGCCGCCAAGAACCCAAACTCTCTCTGACTCTGCCACCATGAGTCTGCACTGGGCCCACTCACCGACTGCCATGAGTCTGCTCTGGACCTATTTGCCACTGCTGATGCCGACACCGTGAAGTGCAGTTTCTACCATTATTTCTATCTGCTGAGGACCGAGTTATTGTTAGTATCAATCTCCTAAGAGTCTAAGGTCTGCTAACTTCATAACTAATCTCCAGGCTGACTGAGCTTAGTTCACATCTCAACCTCTTTGAAAAATTATGATGAAATTGTCTAATTTTCTATTGAATGTACAATGTCTGTGTGAAAACATCATCTTGTTGCACCTCCATCAACTTCAAAAGGAATTCTGAAACTTCAGCCAACTGCAACCTCCTAATTTGAACTCTGATAGAAAATAACCTGGACTGGACACAGACAAAAATCGAGTGAATTTATGTGTATACCTTTTGGTTTTTACGCTATTCTTAATTCCAATCATTTTCCTTTTACTTTCTTTCTTGTATGCTTTTGTGTATATTATAACAGTCAGCCCCTGGATTTGCATGCATGAATCAACTGTGTTGCTTTAAACCCAAAGGGTTTGCTGCAGGTTGCTTTTAAAAAGAGCCAAACAAACATGGTTTTGGGAGGAATGCACAATAGCCTTTACAAAAATTAGAGAAAGAAAATTTAAATAAACCTCCATTTGTGGACAGAAAGGGAGATAAATACAATAAGTTAATTCACTCTCCCTCTTGTTGGTGACTATATTTGCAGATTACAAATACGCGTGAATGCTAAGTAATAGTCTAAGTTTTTCTGAAAGAATTTTCTCGAGGAAGTTTGAATTTTACAATTCTATTGACTATTAAACTTAGCTATTGCTATATTAAGAAAATAGGCATGATACGTTATATTATCCTATGAGATTTTTTGTTGCATTCCGTTTGTTCAATTTAAATTTCACATTCCTAAATCAGCCAACTCAAACTCGAGCTGTAAGCAATCAGCAACATCAGTTGATTTAAAAAAAAAGTTAGGTCAGTTCACAATTATTTTGTGCTATATTGGTACTTACACTTGATAATGCTCTTACTGAAAAACTACAATCTACCATTCATGTTGTATAAAATGATATTTCAAAACTCCTTCAACTGCATCCTTGCCTCAGTTTAAACTTGACAGGTTCAGGGCTCCAAGCAATCTAATAAATGCTTGTATATTTAGCTTTTGTTTTATATTGATTTTTTAACTTGGAAATTTCAGCCTTCTCACAAAACCTTCAGGCGATAATTAATATTGTCCTTAATGGTGATACTCTAACCAATTGATGAAATTTGATCTGTTCTCTGGCTGAATTTCTCTGGTTGCGACAACCCAGATGCATGCAAAATTTCCTGAAATGTATCGGTATAATTTTCATGCTGTAACTGGCTGAATTTATTAATATTGGTTTAAATCTTATTAACTCTGACAGCAGAGAATTATATTGCATATTTCACACTGCTAAACAAGTTTTTGGATCAGAACCAAGGCAGATATACAACACTTTTGAAGTGTAGTGCTTACTGTTGTGTAAGTAAACACCTAATTTGCTTGAAACATTGCAATGTTCGGAGGAAAATGAAATTGGCATTTCATGTTCATTATTACTGTTAATTAATATAGTTAACCACCAAAATAGAAGTTATTCTGTCTGAATTGAAAGAAACTCGCCAGTTTCTATGTCAAAATATATATTTATGTGGCAAAACAGCAATGATTATTAAGCCGCTGGAGAAAGAATGCCGAGATAGAGATTGCAAAAAGCAATACAGAATGCTGAGGTCGATGTACAGTTTTAATTTTAGTGGTGATTGGCTAAAGCTGTCCACTTAACAAGCAAATTGATTTGAAATTTAAATTTTGTAAATGACACCTAGTCCCACAAGTATTGTTGTTCTTTTACTGTTGTGTTTGTAGGGTTTATGAAAGTCATGTCTACACATTGATATTTGCTTTTGAAACTATCAAATCAAAAGACTTAACTCCTCATTGGTTATTCAGTGAGTTTTTCTTTTAAAATGTAATTAATAGTATTGTTTTCAGAGTATGTTCACTGAAAAAAAAGCCAATTTTTTAAAAATCTTCATATGCAAATAGCCATTGCCCAGAAGCAGTATGATGTGCTGAATATTCTCTATTTAACAAAAGCTTACAGTTTAATGTGAATTTGATACTGTTCTATAAATGACTAGATTCCTAAATATAGGTGCACTGATTTATTGTTGCATGGCACTCACAAGTTGACGTTGTTACTTTTAGTATCAGAAATAAAAAAGAGCCCTCCATCACAAATGCAATTTATTTTGTACGCTACATGACTGAACTGGCACATACATTTATGGATGTCAGCAGAGCTGCATTGTCGAGTATCAAATTTATTGTCAGATGTTTGTTTCTAACACTTCATCCATAGTTTCTTTTAAAAATTCATTTTGAAGTGGATTTTGTGATGGTTAAGTGGGTTGCTGTAGTATAAAGACCACCAAGTTTCTAACTTTTGCCACTTCAGATGCGAATGTGCTAATTCAGCAACTGCTGACTACTTTTTCAGAGACTCCTACTGTCGAGTGTACGGATTTTGCACAATGACCTCTTTTGATTCAATAGAGGTTCCCTGCTACAATCAAAGAACATATGATCATTTATGCTATCAAATAACAAAGCAGGCTTAAAGGGCTGAATGATCTACTCAACTCACTACTTATACTTTTGTTACATAGGATATACGATGAAAACAGGCTGTTTGGCTCCAATCAATTCATGCTGGTTTTGATGCTGCACTTGAGCTTCCTCTCATCTCTTCCGACCTCTTCTCCCTCATATACTTGCTTGACTTCTCCTTACATGCCTGTCTATGCTATTCTCTTTAACCCACTCTCTGTGGTATGAAGTTCCACATTCTCACGCTCTCTTGAAGAGGTTTCTTCTGAATTACTTGCTTTTATATAGCTTTGTTTGCAACCACTGAGCATTTTAAAGCATTGTACGGCCGATAGAGTATTCTTCAAGTGTAACCACTGTTGTAATGTAGTTAATTCGGTAATCAATTTCTGCACAGCAAACTCCCACAGATAGCAATACGATATTGATTGTAGAATTAAGTTAATTCACGGTGGCTTTACTTTTGCTTCATTATGGAGCAGATCTTTCATTTGAGACTGGAGGTGGAATGAAAAGGGGCTTTCATCTGTCTTTTCAGGCCCAAGATCACCAATCATCCACTCTAGCAGCCATCCATGCTTCAGAATCTCCTCCACTTCGGCAATGTCACTGTGTATCTTCCAGGTCGTCTTGTCTGTATTGAAGAATGTGATAATCTGTTTTCATGCTTTGATTTGATTTGAAGTAAGCAGATTAGTCCGGAAACAAGCAATAACTCCCTTGCTCTTCAAAATAGTGCCATGGAATCTTTTGTGCCCACCAATCTTTTGGGCAAATTTGGCTTTGGTTTAATGACTCAACTGAAAGACAAAATCACCAGCATTCAGTCAATACTCATGTGTTGAACTAGGGCTCAAACCCATGAATTTTTGACTCTGAGGCAAGGGTATTACTAATTGAACCATGGCTGACATGCATATTGAAATAGTGGAACATTGTTAAAAGTGGGAAGAAACCCATTTTCAATCATTTGTATCAACATTATCCATTCTGTGTTTGTTGCAAACTGTTAGAACACTACACCTCAATGAGGTAGGGTCCAATTATATGAATTGTCTTTTCCCTTAAATGACCTTGTCATATTTTATAAGTTGGCTATCCGCTTGCATTTGTAAACTGATTAAAACACTTGTTTTATATATTTAGATGTATAGCTATTGTATTCTGTTTTTCTGAAACCTAGCTGTGACCTGGCCTTGCAGCTTAATATCCTGAATTGTGTTAATTCCTTTCTGTTTATCTCTCATAGAGACATACAGCACAGACCAAGCCCTTTGGTCCAACTCATCCATGACCACTAGTGTTCCCAAACTAGTCCCGTTTTCCTGCATTTGGCCCATGTCCCTCTAAACCTTTCCTATCACTGTACCTGTCCAAATGTCTGTTAAATGTTGTAATTGTACCTGCGTCTACCACTTCCTCTGGCAGCTCGTTTCGTATATGCTCCAACCTCTGTGTGGAAAAAGTTGTTCATCATTTCCATTTTAAATCTTTCCCCTCTTGAACCTTGAACCTATGTCCTCAACTTTTGTTCTCCCCTACCCTAGGAAAAGAGCTGGGCTCTTCACCTTATTGATTCCTGTCATGATATTATAAATCTCTGTAAGGTTAGCCCTCAGTCTCCTGTGCTCCAGGGAAAGAAATCCCAGCCTATCCATCCTCTCCTTATAGCTGAAACCTTCCAGTCTTGGTAACATCCTTGTAAATCTTTCTTTTTGTGCCCTTTCCAGTTTGGTAACATCTTTCCTATAGGAGGTCAACCAGAATTGTATGCAGTACTCTAAGTGTGGCCTTACCAATGTCTTGTACAGCCATAACATGACGTCCCAGCTCCTGTACTCAATGCCTCTGTGTATGATGTGGGTAAAGTTCTCTGTGATACCAAGATAGCAGCACTGGCAAGGTAGGCAGTGTTCAGGCTCCTGAGCCCATCTGCTCCAGACCGGCTGCTTCCTCCCTTCTTTCCTTCCCTTTTTTGTCAGTGGCAGCAAAGGTGATATTGCAGAGGAGGGCAGGTGGAGTGGGACTCTAGCAAGGCAGCAGTGGCCTAGCCTGGCAGTGGAACCAGGGAGTCCTGGTTACGGTAGGCCTCTGGTTATTGACATGATGGCAGCAGCGGAGCTGGGGGCTCCTCATTGCAGGGCAAGAGGGGGAATCCAGCACAAGATCTGGCATTGGCAGTGGTGTTGGCGAGGTTGGCCCAGTGACAACAAGAAGGTACCTGAAGAGTGGCGACTCCAACATTGGTGTGTCTGGTGCAGGTGGCAGCAAGGTGGTGGAGGATAGATGGCGACTCCGGTGCCATTGAGCCAGCTGACGGAGGTGGTGGAACAAAGATAGACTCTCTTTCAGCTATTTCTTTTTATTCTCAAACTATTCAAGATGGCACCAGATTGTGGTGACAGTTGAAGCTTTTCACTGTATTTTACTGTATTATTCACTGTAAAATACAAGTGACTATAAAACATTCAATTCTTTAAAGTTTTTGCGAAGATTTGTAGCCCGGGTTGTGGATGAGGTTGTAGACATGCTCATCGAGCCGGTGGGTTTGGTTGCAAATGTTTCATCACTCTGCTAGGTAACATCGTCAGTGTGCCTCGGGTGAAGCATCGGTGTTTTGTCCCACTTGTTATTTATATGCTTTGGTTTGCTGGGGTGATCAGAGATAACCACAAAAGGAAGACACAATATGACCAGAATCACTTATCACCCTAGCATACATCAAGGACATTTCAGAGATGACCACAAGAATACTCAGACCCCTGGGTATCAGAGGAGCCCACAAACCGACAACCACCCATGACAGCTACTGACGACCATAAAGGATCCCACACCCAAAACCGGCAAAACTGGGGTAATATACAAAATACTATGCAAGGACTGTGAGAAACACTACATAGGCCAAACCGGAAGAAAATTGACTATACGGATACAGGAACACCAACTAGCCATCAAGAGACATGACCAATTCTCACTTGTCTCACTACACACGGATAACGAGGGACACAAATTCGACTGGGCCAACCATCGATAAGCCTGGTATTCCAACCAGAACTCCAACAACAAACGCATTGAATTAGACCCTGTGTACAAATCACTGAGAAAGAAAACTGGACGTAATACCAACCACGCCAGCACACTGAGGCATATAAATAGCAAGTGAGACAGAACATCAACGCTTCACCGGAGACGCACTGACGATGTCACCTAGCAGGGTGACAAAATGTTTGCTACCAAACCCACCGGCTCAATGAGCATGTCTACAACCTCATTTAATTCTTTCTCTGCTTTGTCTTAAATTATATATGACTTAAACTAAATGACATATGTATGAACTTGTAATTTTTATTCCCTGTAATTCAGTGACAATGTGCTTAAAAATCACAATTTCATAATCCCCATACTTTAAGTTGTGTGATGCTACAGATTTGCTAACAGTTCATTGTTTAAAGTGTTGCATTTTCTCATCCCACACGTGGGTCATACTAGAATGCATTTGCCATTAGTCTAAGGTTTAAAGGCATACGTGCACAGTGTCTAAGGACAATAATAAATTATAATGGCATCATTGTAACAGTACCTTCATTATAAAGCTGTTTCAACAGGAAACACTCTAAATTGAAGAATAAAGGCTTCATAACTTGTTTTTAAACCTATCACTGATAAGGTCAGATTCTCCTATTGCGTGTATTCCACGATTCTGCATGATATATGCTATAAATTGCTTTTTAAGCCTATGAAAAGAAATTTGCTTATAAGCCTAGTGTAAAAGTGAACAGACATTGTGGGTGGTTGCCATTTTGAAATATCATTGACATTAATGCAAAGGGTGGATGTGTCTTGAACTTTCAAACGTCTTCACAACACAGACTGTATCACTTGCTCGATCTAGTGTGCCCAGTTATAAGGTACTAGTAAGTAAGCGTGGGATTTTTGGTTGAAAGATTAGGGCTGATCACTTAATGTGCCTGTAAGGTGTCATGGCTAAAAAGAAGTTAACTTGTACATGAAAAACAGTATATGCAAAATCATGTTTGGAATGGAGAAAATAGGGCCATCTTATACAGCAGCTTGGTAAATATGTTGCGAAGTAGAGTATCCTATATAAGTTGCAAGCATATATTTTGAAAATACTATGCAGTAGAATGTTACATTCCAGGCCAGGAATGACTGCTTTCGTATTCATTGCTCATTAATTCTTTAACTTGTCGATTTTCATGGTGTAACTGAAGGGAAGCATATTTGGTTATTTGACATTAGGAATCTGTATGCATTTGTATCTAGAAAGAACATTGCTAATGGTTTGCACATGTTCACATTTGGGGAATAGTCAGACATGATATTATAATCAGTCAACTGTGAAATGTACATTTCTTTCAAATAAAAGTTTATGGATCAGAATTGTATTTATGATCTGAACAAGGCATATTGGACAAATGGTTCTAAATCTTAATTCTGGAACTTACAGGAGTCATACTTGGAGCGCATTTGTCATAATAAGGATGAAACTATACATCATCTGCAGCAAAGCCAAGAAGCTACCTTCAATAAACTAACCGAACAGATGAAGGAACGAGAGGCTAGCTGGAAAAAACAGAAGACAGACTTGGAGGAACATTATTCTGGACTCCTTGGGGAAGTTCATTCAAGGGCACAGGTAATACTGACATAATTAAGTTGACAATGACTAATAGTTGCCTAAGTAGTCCTCAATTTGTTTCCAATGTGTACACCCACATGTTTACGTACATGTGAAAATTGATGTTGAACACAGCACCTGTCCAATTTGTCCTCATGTTAGCAGGTCTGGCAGCATCTGCAGATGGTGAAAAATAGTTGGAGCTGAATTTTTCCTTTTATTTTGTTAAGTATGAGGGCAAGCATGTTAGGTCTCAATTAGCATCCTACTCCCACTGCTTGGAAAAAAAATGGCACCATCACTCTCATAAACTAATGTGGCAGAGGGATGGGAACCAAATGAGGAGGTTAGTGGACAGTAAGGAGGTAGTAACTAAAGCCTGTAAGGAATTAAATAATGAAGTCAGTGTGACTAAGGGGAAGAGTAGGCAGACAGCAGATGATGAACGCAAAGGGACAGGTGGTCTGAGGTTCATTTGTTTTAATGTGAGAAGTGTAGTAGGTAAGGCAGCTGAACTCAGGGCTTGGATTGGTACCTGGGAGTATGATGTTATTGCTATTACTGAGACTTTGTTGAGGGAAGGGCAAGATTGGCAACTAATTATCCCAGGATATAGATGCTTCAGGCGGGATAGAGAGGGAGGTAAAAGGAGTGGAGGAGTTGCATTACTGGTCAAAGAGGATATCACAGCTGTGCTGAAGGAGGGCACTATGGAGGACTCGAGCAGTGAGGCAATATGGGCAGAGCTCAGAAATAGGAAGGGTGAGGTAATAATGTTGGGGCTGTACTACAGGCCTCCCAACAGCGAGCATGAAATAGAGGTACAAATATGTAGACAGATTATGGAAAGATGTAGGAACAACAGGGTGGTGGTGATGGGAGATTTTAATTTTCCCAACATTGACTGGGATTCACTTAGTGTTAGGGGTTTAGATGGAGCAGAATTTGTAAGGAGCATCCAGGAGGGTTTTATAGAGCAGTATGTAAATAGTCCAACTCGGGAAGGGGCCATACTGGACTTGGTGTTGGGGAATGAGCCCGGCCAGGTGGTTGAAGTTTCAGTAGGGGATTACTTTGGGAATAGTGATCACAATTCCATAAGTTTTAGAATACTCATGGACAAAGACGAGAGTGGTCCTAAAGGAAGAGTGCTAAATTGGGGAAAGGCCAACTATAGCAAAATTTGGCAGGAGCTGGGGAATGTGGATTGGGAGCAGCTGTTTGAGGGTAAATCCACATTTGATATGTGGGAGGCTTTTAAAGAGAGGTTGCTTAGAGTGCAGGACAAACATGTCCATGTGAAAATGAGGGATAGAAAGGGCAAGATTAGGGAACCATGGATGACAGGTGAAATTGTGAGACTAGCAAGAGGAAAAAGGAAGCATACATAAGGTCTAGGCAACTGAAAACAGACGAAGCTTTGGAAGAATATTGGGAAAGTAGGACCAATCTGAAACGAGGAATTAAGAGGGCTAAAAGGGATCATGAAATATCTTTAGCAAACAGGGTTAAGGGAAATCCCAAAGCTTTTTATTCATACATAAGGAGCAAGAGGGTAACTAGAGAAAGGGTTGGCCAACTCAAGGACAAAGGAGGGAAGTTATGCGAGGAGTCAGAGAAAATGAGTGAGATTCTTAATGAGTACTTTGCGTCGGTATTCACCGAGGAGAGGGACATGACAGATGTTGAGGTTAGGGATAGATGTTTGATTACTCTAGGTCAAGTTGACATAAGGAGGGGGGAAGTGTTGGGTATTCTAAAAGGCATTAGGGTGGACAAGTCCCCAGGTCCAGATGGGATCTATCCCAGGTTACTGAGGGAAGCGAGAGAGGAAATAGCTGGGGCCTTAACAGATATCTTTGCAGCATCCTTGAGCACGGGTGAGGTCCTGGAGGACTGGAGAATTGCTAATGTTGTCCCCTTGTTTAAGAAGGGTAGAAAGGATAATCCAGGTAATTATAGACCGGTGAGCCTGTGGTGGGGAAGCTGCTGGAGAAGATACTGAGGGATAGGATCTATTTACATTTGGAAGAAAATGGGCTTATTAGTGATAGGCAGCATGGTTTTGTGCAGGGAAGGTCATGTCTTACCAACTTGATAGAATTCTTTGAGGAAGTGACAACGTTGATAGATGAGGGAAGGGCTGTAGATGTTGTATACATGGACTTCAGTAAGGCGTTTGATAAGGTTCCCCATGGTAGGCTGATGGAGAAAGTGAAGTCGCATGGGGTCCAGGGTGTACTAGCTAGATGGATAGAGAACTGGCTGGGCAACAGGAGACAGAGAGTTGTAGTGGAAGGGAGTTTCTCAAAATGGAGAACTGTGACCAGTGGTGTTCCACAGGGATCCGTGTTGGGACCACTGTTGTTTGTGATATACATAAATGATCTGGAGGAAGGTATAGATGGTCTGACTAGCAAGTTTGCAGATGACACTAAGATTGGTGGAGTAGCAGATAGTGAAAGGGACTGTCGGAGAATGCAGCAGAATATAGATAGATTGGAGAGATGGGCGGAGAAATGGCAGATGGAGTTCAATCCAGGCAAATGCGAGGCGATGCATTTTAGAAGATCCAATTCAAGAGTGAACTGTATGGTAAATGGAAAAGCCCTGAGGAAATTTGATGCACAGAGAGATCTGGGTGTTCAGGTCCATTGTACCCTGAAGGTGGCAACGCAGGTTGATAGAGTGGTCAAGAAGGCATACGGTATGCTTTCATTCATCGGACGGGGTATTAAGTACAAGAGTTGGCAGGTCATGTTACAGTTGTATAGGACTTTGGTTCGACCACATTTGGAATACTGCGTACAGTTCTGGTTGCCACATTACCAAAAGGATGTGGATGCTTTGGAGAGGGTGCAGAGGAGGTTCACCAGGATGTTGCCTGGTATGGGGGACGCTAGCTATGAAGAGAGGTTGAGTAGAGTTGGATTATTTACATTAGCAAGACGGAGGTTGAGGGGGGACCTGATTGAGGTCTGCAAAATTATGAGAGGTATAGACAGGGTGGATAGCAAGAAGCTTTTTCCCAGAGTATGGGACTCAATTACTGTAGGTCACGATTTCAAGGTGAGAGGGGAAAAGTTTAAGGGAGATATACGTGGAAAGTTCTTTACGCAGAGGGTGGTGGGTGCCTGGAATGTGTTGCCAGCGGAGGTGGTAGAGGCGGGCATGATAGCGTCATTTACGCTGTATCTAGACATATACATGAATGGGCAGGGAGCAGAGGGATACAGATCCTTGGAAAGTAGGCGACAGGTTTAGATAGAGGATCTGGATTGGCGCAGGCTTGGAGGGCCGAAGGGCCTGTTCCTGTGCTGTAATTTTCTTTGTTCTTGTTCTTGTTCTTGTTCTATATCAATTTATTAAGAGCTGGCAAGTGAGGTTGGGTGTACTTCTTGGCAAATCAGATCTCAATGCTGATGTCCCAAGTGCCCAGAAGCTGCTGGTCACTCAGAGGCTGGAAGTTTCTGGGACTTTAGGTCAGCTGATCCAGGTCTATTCCTTGGGAGATCCAGTGTTGTCCTGAATTTGTTGTTTATTGGAAGGGATTCAGGGAGAGTGGTTTGGGGTTTGGAAGCAAGAACAGTGGGCTGGATTTCAGAAGTCACCCTCTTACCCCCATCCTTGCCTCCAAATACCCCAGTATGCAGACTGGAGCAATTGGAGGCACCCCACCAATCTGGCAGGCAGGTGGCCATGGTGCCCCAGTCTGAAAAACTAGTTGCTTTTCTTGCCTGCCAGGAGGCAACTTAATTGACCACTTAAGGCTCTTAATTGGTGGCAGTTTGAGAAGGTGGCCCAAGGTCCTTGTGATACAGTACTTAATCATTCAGGTGGTTAAAAGGGAATTGATTTCTGTGTGTTGCTAATTTTCCCAATTCTTTCCATTTTGGAAATGTTTTCATTCCCTCCAGAGAGCAGGAAATCAAAATGAATGTTTCCTTATCGAATGGAAGGTCATGTAATAGTAACTCTCTTTCCGTCTTATCAAATGCTGTCAGCTGTGTGTTTCCATTATTTTTATTTTTTTTTTTAAACTTTACACTTCCAGCAGCTGCATTATTTTGCCTTCTGTCCTTCAGTCATATTGTTGCTCCTTCTTTTCCCTCCCTCCAGTGTTTATTTTTGCTGCAATAAAAATGTCTCAACTCTGTCAGAAAATGAACCTGGTATGGGTAGATCTTTCTGTTGTAATTTCAATCAGAAGGCAGGTAGGAACTTTCTGCATTAACTCAAAATTAGGTTGGGGGATATTTTTACCGGGACCCATAAAGGCCAATATTGTACCTTACAACTTCAATCGAAAAATAGTTCATCATTACAAGCAACGCTGGTTTGTAGATTAGTTATGTCACTGGGCTTGTACAGCATGGTCTGGTACCACAAAGCATTGAGTGGAACACCTTGAGCGCAAAATAAATTGAAGTTCAGCTTTAAAAATAACAGTAATAATTTGTTTATAAGTATCTGCTATCCAAATAAGTGAGCTTGAAATGCTCAAGTAAGTTGTAAAAACACATAAAAGCAAAATATTATAGATTCTGGAGATCAGAAATAAAAAAAAACAAAGTGCAGCAGAAGCTCAGCAGGTCTGGTAGAGTCTGTTGAGAAACAGCTAACATTTTGTTTCTTTAGAACAGCTGTAAAAACCCCATTGACTGTCTGTGCCTTTCGGAAAAAGCAACCTGCTATCCTTGCACAGGCTGGACTTTATATGACTCCAGACCCACACCAATACTGATTCTTAAGTGCCCTCTGACAGTGGCTTTTTTAAATGCTTTCAAGGAGGCCTATCAGTACATTCTTTAAGCTATTTGGGATGGACAAGAAATTGTGAAGCAATTTGAAGAAAAAGCACAAGATTCCAAATCCTCAGTTGATGAACAGATGATTAAACCACCCCTTAGCATAGTAATTAGCACTTCTCGGCATTCTACAAGGATCTTGGCACTGCTTAGTACTCCATTCTTAATCAACAGTGACATTGTTGAATAACAAAAACTAGCATTAGTTGC